TAATTCATGTTATACTTAGTATAATAATAATAGCTTTATTTCATTATAAGACAGCAATACGTAACTGAACGGCAATACCGTAGCCACAGATTAACTAGGAATGATACTATTTTACATTATATCAGATAAAGAGCTTACTGTTTTTTTTTTAAGTATGTAAATTCAATGAAAATATTTTAATAACTATTTCATAAAACATGTATAACTTGATCTGTGATAAATAACATCTACATTGACCGTCACACTAATACCAGCGACTGTCAGTAAGGATACTTACACGGTTTATAGCCGTGAAGATTCTACCTTCAATACATTTATGTTTACCGATTCAAGATTCTTAACTGTTGATAAAAAATTACTTAACACTACATTGATTGACGATTGAGATAAAAACCATAAAAATACAACTGTGCCCGACATACTTGGTCGCTGGTGTGCTATGGTCTTATCGCAGAGATTAACTACAAAAACGGCAAAAACAAAACCAAAACTCACGTTCTTCATTTCTAGCGGACGAGCTCTCGTCGATTGTTGGCACTTCCATTTCTGTTATTCTGTGTAGGAAAGCTTTTCGACTTAGACTCTCGAAATAAAGTGAAAAGAAACAATCGTTAGTAACGAATAGCGATAACGATTATTGAATATAAATGCGAAACGCAAACATACAATACAGCTAGTACAGAATATAATAATAAAAAAGGACACCGACTGTACAGGATAATGGCTTGGGTATGTCGGCCATGTCACCTAAGCTAACAAAAGGGCCAGTTCAATAAACAGTATTACCAGTTTTCCCAAAAAAAAAAAATGGTACTCAATCATCATACAATAAAAAATCACGATAACGTAAAAAAATCCGGTACCTACTATTACTATACTCAGTGTTAATCATAACACAAACGTAAAAATTCTGTATTTTGTTGTATACGTGTCCCTACGGATGAGCCTTGGTGTCATGGCCAACTGATTATCTACTATTGGGCCGCCACACAAAGATGTCTCCCCTTGCAACAAGTTTAAAACTACTACAGCCGCAGGTGTAGACGCACCACGAGAACAGTGATAGTGGATGACCTACTTGTTAACGGTGTAAGTGGGTAATTTACTAATGCAGAAGTGGCCAACGAGAAGAGACTCGTGAATCACCCAATACATAAATAAATATGGAAAAACTAAAATGAAAAAAGGTCATGGTAATATATACATACATCATTATCTTTAACAACACAAGATATCAATTATAATAAAATCTGTAAAAAACAAAACAATATAAGATATTAATTAATAATAAAAAATTAAAAAATACAATTTAAATATTACATCAAAAACGCTTTATTTTTTTTTTTTATCTATAAATTGAAATTTAATAAAATATTATACTTTTCCTTATACAATTATTCATATTGAAAATAATTTTTTTTATAATATTTGTATCTCACGATAAGTAAGACCCCTGCACTAGTGTGTTGTCATCGTTTAGGTCACTAACTAGGAACTCGCAATAGTATTACCCAATGTAAACGTAGTAGAACCAGGGCTTAAGAGGGAAAAAATTTTAGGAGGAACTAATGTATTCATGTAGTTTTAAGCGTTTAATAAATCATTTTATATATTATGTCCAATTTATATTGTAGTATATGTTATGTATAAGAGTAATTGTGTTTCATACTCATCCCACTTATAACCAGGAATCATTTCAAATTCGTAATTTTTTTCATGAAATATTTAAATTACATAAAATCCTGTTTTTAGAACAATTAATATTTTATAAAAATTAATTATTTTGAAATAAAATATTTTTCTGATAATATTAAATTGTAAGTAGTGGTTTTCTTTTAACGAAACCAAATAAATCAGCAAGATTAAAAATAATAGTGTCTTTAACATTTTAAATTTAGCATAAAAAAAATTCAAATTCTTTGATTAGGGAGGTAAACATACTTAACAAATCACACATTCACGCGTCTTCACCTATAATTAATGTATGTAATGAATTTATAAAGCCGAATTTTACATATTATCACTGTGATATCGAGTAATCGAATACCTATTAATCACAGTATAGCCAATTTCAATAACAAATGAAATCAATGATATTTAGTGTTCACGCATATATTAAATAGTCTATATTTTTTATTAAATTAATTTGATAAAAGTAAAGTAATAATTGACAAAAAAAAAAAAACAATGATTTAATCTTAACGTAATTCTGAATTATATTGACATGTTTGGTTATAATTATAATTGTCGCTTTCTAATGTACCTTACGAATAATTTGTTAAAGGGAACGCTTTTTAACCACTTATAGTAGTAAGGGTATAGTCACTTGTGTACCCCTCCTCTACATTAACCCTGCGAAGCCACTGAACCCACTCTTCTCGCCGCCACTTTTTGACCGACGAAAATTTAAAATTGCATCTATTATGTGGTTTTAGCGTTCAGTTGTTTTAAAATTAACACAAATTCATCTTCTATTTTCATAGTGAAAAGTAAAAATGTATCTTATAGGAATTCCTTTAAATAACTGCTTACGCAAAGATCCTCTCAAACCATTAACTACAATCAATTTATTACACGGTTATGCAGTTTTCGCTAATAATATGCATTTATCGTGTAGTTAGGTATCAACAAAAAACTAATCGAATAAATCGAATTAGTAAGAAAACTGTATTCCTTAAGTAGATACTGAAGTGACGTTGTCTAGATTTTGGATTTAGGAGTTCAATCTGAAGGCAAACATTTTTACTCGGTCAATAAATTTAAAATTTCTAATTTTAAAATAATTTATCAAAAATCACAATTATATTTGCTGAAACTTATTTCTAGAAAATAAAATGATTTGTTTATTAAAAATAAAACTAATTGAAATTAGAAAAATTATAACTGAAGTGATGCTACATAAAATATTATAAACCTAATCTAACTTACATAGTAAGTACTTGTACGTGTCTATCTCGGAAAAGTTTAATTTTTTTATACAATTGGTTTCCCTGCCAAATGCACTATACATTATTTGAATTTCTTTAGTCATTATTTTAGGTATAACTGTTGATAAATTTTCACTTATTTTACCATCCTTCTGATATTGATTAATGATTATCATAAAATATTTCTAAAGTGTATACAATATAAATATAAATTAAGTTTTATAGACTCAGAAGTAAAAATATACCCATTAAGTTTTTTTATTAAATCAACATCAACATTTAGTTGACCATCAAAATCTTGAAATTTTTGTAGAGTAGTAGTTTTTAGTAAATCCATGAGCGTATCTTTTAATATTTTATTAATATCAGTATAATTATTTATAGTTATTAGTTGCAAATAATATACTATTTATTTTACATTCTTCTTTAATTCGATATTTGATGTTTCTTCTTAATGATTCTTAGTCAGATTTAGACACTGGTAAAACCTAATCTTAAATTAATAGTAAAATGAAACAAATATATAACTTTATATTATTAATGAGTTAGGTATGACATTAGGTAAAAATACTAAAATGTCAATGTATTATTTAGTTATATCTGAACAACTAAATATCGGACAATATTTTGTACTAATTATTAGTGTTGTAGTATGTGAATATTTAA